CTCTTCGTTTGTTCATACATACGTACATACACACATTTTTTCACTTAATAAAGAATTCTACATGTTTTTACTCAAACGCAGAAAATGCCATTTCAAAAAATTTTAGAAATTACAATTTTCCGCCGGCCACATCCCTGTTAACTTAAATGGCGTACTTGTGGTGGTCTTCAAACTGAAATTTATCATAGCCAAGACGATTTTCTTTGCCAACAAGCATGGATTATAGAAATAAGCATAATCGTATGCTTTATTCACAAAAAACTATGCTTAAACCAGTGTTTTATAGGAACTGTAACAATATTTCGAATATCATGAAACGGCTATGAACAAGATTTTGTAACACCTTACCCAGACAATCATCGTCGGTGACGTAATGCGCGTTTGGCCATCTCTTAGCCAATCATCGTCAAGATACAATGTAACAATATTTCGAATATCATGAAACAGCTATGAAGAAGATTTTGTAACACCTTACCCAGACAATCAACGTCGGTGACGTAATGCGCGTTTGGCCATCTCTTAGCCAATCATCGTCAAGATACAATGTAACAATATTTCGATAGTAATTTAAAGCAGCAGTGAGGGCGCCAGGTTGAGAAATTGCAAACTTGAAAGCCTCTAGGTCCATATCACTCATGTTTGTCTTATTTCGCACTCCCTAAATAAATGAAGGAGAATTATCAGGATGTAAAGCTGGGTTAGACGTGCGATTTTTTTCTTGCGGGGGCAGCGCAACGGGTCAAATTTGATCGCCATGCCGGTGCAAGAGAAGTGGCAACACGTGCAATGATTTTCTCGTCTGGTAAGACAAGTGCAAAGCCAGAGTTTTATAAATCGAGACTAAAATCATGTTTCTTGACAAAGTTTAGCGCTCTTAATTTTAGACACAAGTTTAAAAGTTTGATTACTGAAAAAGACTGCTTAAAGATCCTAACATGTGTTTAAAAGTGTATGAAGTTGTATAGTTACGCTGGGACCTTATTAAAGCAACGACGTTTTAGACATTAACTGATTTCGCCATGTGTTGACAGTCGTGCGTAAACTTGGGGATATTTTACTAGTCCACTGGATTCGTCGCCCCAAGTCCTTGTCAAGTAAAACGAGTATCTTAACAATTATCTGCAGGTCTTAAGTATCCTAAGTATCTTAACAATTATCTGGTCTTAAGAAGCTCATTAAGAGAAAAATCCCTCCGTGATCAAACTTTGATAGATATACCTAGAATTAGAAAAACACCTCACAAGGGCAAACTATGTTTAAAGTCGCTGCAGCACGTGATTGGAACTTGCTACCGAAATGTATCAAAGATATTAAAGTTCTCGGCAGCTTTAAAAATAGGTACGCAAGGCGTACATATATCTGCGAAAAAACTTGATTCACATTTTGTATTTTCTTGAAAGGAACTGAATAATGAAGGTGACATGGAACAATTGAAATATTTCATCACTTATTATAATAGCAGATAAGATTTAAAACAGGGCTGTACACATCGGGGAGGGCGGGAGGGCAAATGCTCCCCCCCCCCCCACCCCCGCACCGAGAAAATTTAACCAACTTTATAATGTGATTATGATTGTAACAGCTAATTATGCAGTCAGGAAATAAAAATTTCATGCAAACAATATTCAAAGTGTCTATACAGCCGGCTATTTAGTAAACTGTCACCTGTCAATTCAATCCATACTCATCAAATTTTCAAAACTTTATTGTAATCATATATGAAGCAAAAGTTATGTCACTTGTTGTTTACACTTGCCAATGTTAACTGTTGAGTAACATACACAAAATATTTGGTGAACATGTCGAAGACCACTGAATAATTGAGAATGTTTTGAAGGTCATGAGTGAAGTATATAATTAAATTCCAGTTCTGTGCACAGTTAATTAATGATATAGCACACTGTTCGGTTTAACACATACAGCACATTCACACAAAAACAATTGTGTTGTGGGAGATTATCGGTTTGAGTAGAAGGTATCACAAGTTTAGTTTTGTACATTGTGTGCCATTGATCAAATCCACCATATAATATATGATTATTCATTGTAGCTGTTAAGTTATTTTCCATACTAATGAATTTAGGTAAGATTGTCTTGCAAGTTGGTTGTTCTGACAAAATTATCCAGCCAATATCCAGTACATTTATTCTTCATTCTTGTATTAATCTCTAAAGAAAAATATTTATGTTAGAAAGCAAAATGACAATGTAATGAGGCTCGGGAGGGTGAGGATTCTTTTATTTGAAAATGTTTGTAAAAATGTTGTTTAATTAACTCTAATGTGTAAAACCAAAATGTATAAGTATTTTAACTGATAACATCTTCAACCTTTGCTCTAACACTACATTTGATGACAGCTTTATAGTTGGACTGTTGTTTTGAACAGAGTTATGGAGTCAATATACAGAAATACAGGACCAGGATTTAATTCAATATCTCCTGAGAATGTTTTCATTGTTTAAAATATTACAGAAGTCACAGAAGGATTGTTTTTAATACTGTATAAATCTTTTTGTGAACTATGTTGATAAATGGCTTAAAATATCCTCGAAAATATCCAATATTTTATACAGTGTAATATATTAATAAAAAAATTCCAGAGTGCATTCCATATAAACTCTACGCCGAAGATACGGCAATATTAACTATAGATAGTATAGTAAATATTTGCCGAACTGGCGAACTCGTGTATTATAAAATATGTGGGACATATATTTGCACAAATTTGGTATTTAAATATATAATATGTGGTATTTGACTACTTACCAGATGAGGATAAGATTCCATGTTGATAAATAACTTCGGAATAAAAAAAAGATAGCCAATTCGAGATAAATTGATAAAAATATAAAGATATTTTTGAAACAATAACACGATTTATACACGAGGCCTGACGAGGCTAAAGTATGCCCGTTCGCAGGTTAGATGCGGGCACGATGTAAACAATTGATGTAAACAAATCGCTGATTGGCTTAAATTGGCTTAAATTATATAAGCCCGTCGCTGAATGGCTAGGGATACGGTACGGTACGGTACGGTCACGGCACGTTTGCGATAGCATATATATCTGCTTCGCAGATACAAAAATCATAAGCGTGTCGTATCTTTATATGTGATAAAAAATCATGTTAATTTACATAAACTTTAGCATTGATTTTCTCGGTTTAGACAAAGTTTATTTTAAACATTACTTCGCTAATTTACTCATCAGAAGATGGGTCGTTTTTTAAGCCATTTAAAGCACTTGTAGTCGTGTTTTATCAGATAAAACACTCCTAAGCGTGCTTAAATAGTACTTCAAAAACTCATTAATAATTCATGAAGAAATTATCCAATCTTGAGTAAGAAATTAGTCACGTGCATACGTCTTTATACCAGCTAAAGAACACTTCAACAAAAGACCATTGTTATGCAAACCATATAAAGATTTTTATATAAAGATTTTTATATAAAGATTTTTATATAATAATTTTTATATAATAATTTTTATATAAAGATTTGACTTATTATATGCAAACGTTTTTGAAGCCATTTAAAAAACTCGCAAGTCGTGTTTTAATAGGTCTAAAGCCACTCGCGCTGCTCGCTCGTGGCTTTAAGCCTATAATAAAACACTCCTGCTCGTTTTTTAAATAGTACATAACGCTGTACGTTTCTTCAAATCAACGATGTTTAAACAACGCATGTGAGAAATGTATGTTGAACAAAAGCAAATACTCGTCTATACAAAATGTACAAAGACTTAATTTGAACCAAATTGCTTTGTGATGTATTGTCTTTCCCTAATTCATGTTGTATCTCAAGTAAAATTTCAAAAATCTTATTTGCTCAATAGTATAGTCCTTCAAAAACTAATTATAAATGTGTTACTCCACTTTCGTTCCACCAAAATAATAATTATTCCCACATATATTGAATAATTACATTCAAAATCATTGACCAATTAGGTTGCAAAACAGACCAGCCGAAGCCAGAGCCTATTTCGCTGACCATCCAAACGCGGAAACAAAAAGCCCTGGGTACGAGGTTGTATTTAGAAATCAGAGAAACAACACTTACGCCCGTATTCTAAAAGCTCACTCACACGCAATGAGTGGAGGTTCAATCTAAGCTTCTCTTGAGTGTCAATGCTGTTTTTGAATAGCTGGAGGGTGAGCAATCACATAGTAAGGTACGGCACTACATCTTCAGCTATTCAACATGAAAAGAAAAAAAAAAAAAAATGTTTCGTCTCAATATAATTATAGAAATACTAGACGTCTGTAATTAGCGGTTGTCACCATAGATCACTTGTATATGCTGAGCAATGAATTTCTTTTTTTCTCATTTGAAAGAACTTTTGAAACTATTTAATAACTTCTTTTACCGATTCTTCATACCTTGCTTAGTTCTTGAAATATTTTCACTTTAAGTAATGAGATGTCAGCCATCTTGGATAAAATTTTGATCTCATTAACCATACATGTCCAATACTCCCGCATTTCACGACTCGTTACAAGTTGTCACAAGTCGTGAAATCCATCGCAAGGTACAAGTTGATATAATTCGTCACAATTTCACGACTCGTTACAAGTTGTCACGAGTCGTGAAATACATCGCAAGGTACAAGTCGACATAACTCGTCACGAATTTCGTCACGAGTCGTAAAAACGCAAAAATAGTACCGGGTATCATCTCTTCTGAATTTACGAACTTGCTTACATGAAATTTGCACTGCCTAGTATTCATATGATGTTGTGCTGATGCGGTTCACGAATTTCGTGACGAGTCGTAAAAAGGCCAAAATAGTATCGGGTATCATATCTTCTGAATTTACCTTTCCTGTAAGCCCTGCCGTAATATATATTGATGCCTGTTGTTTAAAAATGCAGTCTACAAGTACTTATACTTCGGCATTTTTTACTTCCTTGAATTTGGTATCTTTATATAAAGTCATATCAGTGAATATTCTATACGATTGTATAGAATATTCATGCATCATACGATATCTATATATTGTGATCATGCCTCGTTCTTCAAAAACCACTCTGCATGCAAGTATACTTTGGCATTGAGCGATTGTGCGTATACAGTTTGGCATTGCTAGCTTCACTCTATAGCTTCACTGAAGCTTGTATATCTTTATATTTCCCGAGTGCTCCATTATATATCGGTTAAACACTTGCATGTATGGTGATAAAATCCTAAATAAGCCATATCAGTGAATATTCTATACGGTTGTATAGAACATTCATGCATCATACAATATATATATATATATATATATATATTGTGACCATGCCTCGTTCTTCAAAAACCACTCTGCAAGTATACTTTGGCATTGAGCGATTGCGCGTATACAATTTGGCATTGCTACTTCACTGAAGCTTGTATATATCTTTATACTTACCGACGAGTGGTAAAAAGGCAAAAATAGTATCGGGTATCATATCTTCTGAATTTACCTTTCCTGTAAGCTCTGCCGTAATATATATTCATGCCTGTTCTTCAAAAAATGCAGCGGTCTACAAGTATACTTATACATCGGCATTTTTTGCTTCATTAAATTTGGTATCTTTATATAAAGTCATATCAGTGAATATTCCACACGATTGTATAGAATATTCATGCATCATACGATATCTATATAGGTTGTGATCATGCCTCGTTCTTCAAAAACCACTCTGCAAGTATACTTTGGCATTGAGCGATTGCGCGTATACAATTTGGCATTGCTAGCTTCACTGAAGCTTGCATGTATAACGCCGGATTCCGCGTATACAGTTTGGCATTACTAGCTTCACTGAAGCTTGTATATCTTTATATTTACCGAGTGCTCCTTTATATATGGTTAAAACGCGATAAGCCAGGAATTTGGTTTATGACTATATGCATGCATACATCAGTGTTATAGTGATCTGCTTACAACGAGAAAACGAATATGCCTATAAACGTATCGTCATCGCTGCAGGATTGTCTTAAAATATTGCGAAATCCTGCATTAATCAATTAATAAAATCAATTGTAAAATATATGCTTTTTAAAAAATATAAAACCAATTTAACACTCAAATCCGGAACGGTAACAAATATTAATGCAATGAAACACAAAGCAAAGGCTTAGTCACCTTAGTGCGTTTCTGTTGCTTTCTTTTAAACAACTTCCTTTCCGTATTATATCACATATATTATCTTCCAAGCAGTATAAACAATAGGTTTTTACCACTAACCTATCATATTAACATTGGTCATTGGGAATTGTAATTTAATATACCACAAATACGAAATTTTTATCAGAAAATATATGCCTTCATCTTAGCTTGAATCGAGCGTATTTTAATTAATGACTTGAAGTGCTTTCCAAATTGATCCGAAATATCCAACTTATTTGATTGCTCTTCCTTTTTGACTTTTTTTTATCATGTTTTCCAACTTATCTTGCAAATTATTTACCGCATCGTATTGCTTTGTGACATCATCACATGGTGTCTTAAATTTCACCGCTTCCTTTGTATGCCCTTCCTGTATGTTGTCATTTTTTCATTTACTTTCGCGTCAACATTATACTAAGTTACACCGTGCTTGCGTATATACTCACTTTTTACGATCATATACAAGATTTCCAACAACTATAGGTATTGTGTTGCCACTAGGCTGGTGCACTCTTAAGTTCTTCACGACTCGTGAAACATTCCTCACAAGTTGTCACGAGTCGTGAAATTTCACGGATTTAACGAGTCGTTCGAATTTCGTCAGGTTCACCACTTGGCTGGTGCACTCTTAAGTCCTTCACGACTCGTGAAACATTCCTTACAAGTTGTAACGAGTCGTGTAATTTCACGGATTTAACGAGTCGTACGAATTTCGTGAGGTTCACCACTTGGCTGGTGCACTCTTAAGTCCTTCACGACTCGTGAAATATTCCTCACAAGTTGTCACGAGTCGTGAAATTTCACGGATTTAACGAGTCGTACGAATTTCGTGAAGTTCACCACTTGGCTGGGCGCACTCTTAAGTCCTTCACCACTCGTGAAACATTCATTACAAGTTGTAACGAGTCGTGAAATTTCACGGATTTAACGAGTCGTACGAATTTCGTGAAGTTCACCACTTGGCTGGGTGCACTCTTAAGTCCTTCACGACTCG